GCTGATTAATGCTGTCATTATTATTCCTATTTGTTATTTAAGTTTTTAACAATAGTGTTACTGATTTAAGATTAACACACATTTACTAGTTCCTTGGTTTCTCTCATTTTTTCTTTTTTCATCTTAGATTTTCCATCTGTGATCATTTACTTCAATTTGAAGCCCATTGTTTAGAAACTTCTCAAGCAAGGATCCTTGGATATACAATGTATTATTTCTTAATTGTTTCAAAATATCTGTGGTTTATGCTTGTTCTTAGAATAGATCTTTACTGTTTACAATCCTATATTTACAATTATTTTCTTTCAAACCTTTGAAGATATTGTTTCAATTATCTTTTGGTTTCCAGTGTTGTTTCCACCTAGTCAGCTCTTAGTTAAATCTTTGTAGATTATATCTTTGTACATCCTCTGTCTTTTCTTTCTGGTTCCTCTAGAGATATATTCTTCATCTTTCATGTTTTTCCATGCTCCTGTCATGTGCCCAAGTATAAATTTATTTTTATTTATACTGACTGGATTCATTAAGCTTTCTGAATTTGGAAATTGAGGTGTTTCACCGTTTCTAGACGTTTCCCGGTCATTATCTCTTCAAATATTTCATCTGCTCTATTTAGTCTTTCTTCTACTGGATTTGATTAAACATGTATTAGAGATTTTGTCTTTGTACTCTGTGACTCAAAACCTCTTCATAACAGTTCCCATGTCTGATTCTCCATGCTGCATTATGGATAGTTCATTTACACTGTTTTTCAGTTTACTGATTCTCTCTTCTCCTCTGTCAAATCCAAACATATATAGCCAACTAATTTTTTACAAGAGCACCAGGAGGACAGTATGGGGAGCAGTTAGTCTCTTTAATAAATGGTGCTGAGAAAACTGGATTTCCACATGTAAAAGATTTAAATTGGACCCTTAGTTTACACTATACACAGAAATCAACTCAAAATGGGTAAAAGACATAAACATAAGACCAGAAACAATAAAGCTCCTGGAAGAGAACATAGGGGAAATGTGCCTGGACATCAGCACTGGCAATGACTGCTTGGATTTACTTCTGGGCTCTCTCTTCTGTTCCAAATATTCTTGTTTGCTTTTTATAATCCTTTGCTAGTTATTCATATTTCCATTTCCTCTTTACATTTTAAATATATTGTAAATATTTATATTTTGTATACTATTCATAATATTTACAATATTCTAAATCTGTGTTTGATTCTGCAACCTGTTGTTTTGGAGATTCTAATTCTCGGTGGGTGCATTTTTCCTTGTGTATTTTTTGATATTGTAAAACGAGCTTCATATTTACTTTTAAAACTTTAAATGTGAGATATTTTGAAATGTAATTTGAAGCCAAACTCTTCTAGAGAGGATTTGCATTTACTAGGCACCCACAGCTGCTTGAATTAAATGTAATTCTTGGTTTGAAGTTTTGGTAACTACTCAAATGGTGTCAATTATGGCAGCAAGCCTGGTTGAGCCCTAAATTATTAGGACACATTTTTTTCTCTTTCATTCATCACCACATTTTTAAGGCCATGATGTATTTTTTAGGCCCATAAAGTGGATGTTTATATGTAACTCATGCTACCGTCAGGCAATCTAGTTAATGAGATATAAGCTTTAATGCTGTGGATTGACTTTTTATTGAATTTCCCACCTTGTGAGTCCTACCTCCTCTTGTTTTTTAAGTTTTGTACCCTAAGTAACCATGCAAGGCAGAAGCCTAAGATCAAATTATTCAGTGTTCAGTTTATCTTTCCAACTTCACTTTCAGCTTCTGATTGATCCTTACTTTCTGGCCAAGTTATCCTAGCATTTATAAAGATCTTTGCATATTTTATTCAGCATTTTAAAGTGTGTACAGGTTGATAGGATGTTTAGTTTTCCATAGTTCACAAATGGAAAATATTAAACTCATAGTTCACAAATGGAAAGAAGAAGAGAAAGGTATAACTGGACTAGAAAAATTAACTGATTAAGGATGCTGGAAAGATGCTTAAAATAATGCAATAATATAAAACAAAATGTGCAATGTTATATGAATTGAGTTCTTAGTCATAAGGACTTAGGGAAAATGGAAGATCTTGACTTCTGCAGTTACCCTGGTTAAGAGTAAAGATATGGTGGAAACAAGCATTAAGCAATGCATGACTGTATATTATGTACCTACTTACAGACGAAACACCTGCTGTATACAGACATTTAACCCTGTGCTTACAAGAGGTTTATGTCATGAAAATTGCTCTTATAGTAAGCATAATCAACCTGAGAAAAGAAAGGTTAACTATTTGTGATTTTAACAGTTAAGGAATAATTAAGTGCTAAACCTTACTGTACTGACTTTAACATCAGTAGGAATACAGAAATGGCTGAGCTTTGTGTAAGGCCACCTAGGATAAGGTTTTCTTGAAACAAATGGAACTTCATCTGGGGATATGGAAAGTTTGAGGCAAAATTGGGGACAGGTAACAAGCTATAATACGTCAAAGCTTGGGAATGAACACAAAGAAGAAATAAGCACAAAATGTCCCCAACTTGATGAAAGGAGAGGGAAACAGTGAAACCCAAGGTTTTTGATAGATTTTAATAATGTAGTAGAAAACTTAGAAACCATAGGAGCATTTTGTTAAATAGTCATGCACTACTTAACAACAGGGATATTTCCTGAGAAATGTTTCCTTAGGTGATTTCATTGTTGTACAACCATCATAGAGTGCATTTACACAAACCTAGATGGTCTAACCCAGCAGTCCCCAACGTTTTTGGCACCAAGGAGCAGTTTTGTGGAAGATAATTTTTCCACACACTGTGGGGTTGGGGATAATTTTGGGATGATTCAAGTGCATCCTGAAATTCAAGACCATTACATTTGTGGTGCACTTTATTTCTATTATTATTATATTATAATATGCAATGAAATAATTATACAACTCACCATAATGTAAAAATCAATGGGACCCCTGAGCTTCATTTCTTGCAGTTAGGCGGTCCCACCTGGGGGTGATAGGAGACAGTGACAGATCATCATGCATTAGATTCTCCTAATAAGTGTACAACATAGATGCCTCACAGTTCACAATAGGGTTCACGCTCCTGTGAGAATCTAATGCCGCTGCTGACCTGACAAGAGGCAGAGCTCAGGTAGTAATACCAGTGATGGGGAGCTGCTGTAAATATAGATGAGGCTCAGCTTGCTGGTGCCTGCCACTCACCTACTGCTGTGCAGCCCTGGGGTTGAAGACCCCTGGTCTAACTACTACATGCCTAGGCTATATGGTATGTATTATCTCTTGTTCCTAGGCTACAAATGTGTAACGCATGTTACCTTCTGAATACTCTAAGCAATTGTAGCATAAGTATTTGTGTATCTAAATGTAGGTAAGCATAGAAGAGACAGTAAAAAATAAGATATAAAAGTTATAAAATGGTGTACCTCTATAGGGTACTTAACCACAAATGGAGCTTACAGGAGTGGAAGTTGCTCTGGGTGAGTCTGAGCAAGCAGTGAGTGAATGTGACGACCTAGGACATTATATTCCTGTAGACTTTATAAACACTATATAGTTAGGCTATACTAAATATTTTTAAAACATTTTTCTTTCTTCGATAATAAATTAACCTTAACTTACTATAATGTTTTTACTTTATAATATTTTAAACTTTAAAAAATGTTTTAATAATATCTAAAACACACATTGTACAGCTGTACAAAAATGTTTTCTTTCTTTATATTCTTCAATAATCTTTTTTCTGTTTTTAAATTATTAATTTATTTTTACTTTTTAAACTTTTTTTGTTAAAAACTAAGACACAAACACATACCTAGGCCTATACAGGGTCAGGACCCTCAGTATCCCTGTCTTCCACCTCCACGTCTTGTCCTACTGGAAGGTCTTTGGGGGCAATAACATGCATGGAGCTGCCATCTCCTGTGATAACAGTGACTTCTTTCTTTCTTTTTTTTATTTTTGAGATGAAGTCTCACTCTTGTCCCCCAGGCTGGAGTGCAATGGTGTGATCTCAGATCACTGCAACCTCTGCCTCCCAGGTTCAAGCGATTCTCGGCGTCTGCTTCTTGAGTAGCTGGGATTACAGATGCCTGCCACCATGCCCGACTAATTTTTGTATTTTTAATAGAGATGGGGTTTCACCAAGTTGGCCAGGCTGGTCTTGAACTCCTGACCTCCCAAAATGTTGGGATTACAGGAGTAAGCCTCCATACTTGGCCAACAGTGGCTTCTTTTGGAAGATCTTTTGCAGGACCTAACTGAGGCTGTTTTTACAGTTAGCTTTTTCTTTTCTTTTCTTTTCTTTCTTCTTTTTGAGTAGAAGAAATACACTTTGAAATAATGATAAAAAGTATAGTATAGAAAATATATAACATAGTTGTGTTATGTAATATAGTTGATGTTTGCTATATGGACTGTACATACTTTGTATGACCGGTAGATTTGTTTGCACCAGTATCACACCAACACATGAGTAATGCTCTATGCTGATACTACATCACTAGGCAGTAGAAAGTTTTCAGCTCCATTGTAATCTTATGGGGCCACCCATGTGTATGCAGTCTGTTGTTTATTGAAGCATAATTAGGTGATGCATAACTATTATATATTAGACAATACAGAGATATTGAAGACTCTTGAGGAGAGGATTGACATGTTTAAAGTTATGTTAAAATTTAGCCTCATTGGGGCCTGGGTGTGGTAGCTTACGCCTGTAATCCCAGCACTTTGGGCAGCTGAGGGGAATGGATCACCAGAGGTCAGGAGTTTGAGACCAGCTTGGCCAACATGGCAAAACCCTGTCACTACTAAAAAACATACAAAATTTAGTCAGGCCTGTAATCCCACCTATTCAAAATATATTTTGTTAGGAAAGAACCCTTTTATTATTATATGCTCTTTATTAGATTATGTAAAAAAAAAAGATATATAAATTTATATGTATTACTATAACATAATAATGTATATAAATATATTTTTGTTGTTTTAGAGGAATTCCAGGGAAGAAATGTGGTATAATCATACTTACGGCAGAAGAATTAAACTGTTGCAGGGTAAGTAAATATGTCTTTGGCTTAGAAAAATTTTCATACTTCAAATGCTATATCTAAAATTGTACTTAACTAATTAATTTTTAAGTGATTGTAGAAAAAGTATTATACAATTTTATAATCCATAAAATATCATTTTAGATACTTAGTCTTGTGACCAGAGAGAGTTTTTCGTAATCTGAAAAGTATAGTGAATTATTTTAATAACCTTTTTTAAAAATTGAAGTATTAAAACCTAATATCAATACTGCTTTTTAAGCATTAGTATAAGGCATTGTCAGTTATACCAATCAGTTTAATTACTGTAAAACCATTGAAGACTTGTATATAATTTTGAAGGAATATTTCTTGTCATTTGAGTTTAGCCCTTTTGTATAACATATTTTCCCCAATTTTTCTGATTTAATTAATTCAGAATTCATATTGGTTCCATCTCTTGTTAGCTTGGGAAGTCCACATCTGGAGAAATGATTAGCTGCCACTCCAGCTAGCAGTATGATTGCATAGAGTGCATACTCTGTATTTTTAGAAGACTGCTAATTTTAGTTGTGATTTGCTGATGAACCCATTGACTCGTGTTTAATGATTTCACTGTTGTCAAGAAATGGGGTGATAGCTATGACACTCCACACTGAAAGTAATGGTGGCTAGCTGAATCTGAAGTCAATATCACCTGTTTAATGTGGGCCAGCAGATCTCTGGGAATTGGTATTTCCAGAGGAAAAAATTTTTCCCTAGATTATACCTCTAGTGCTCTTTATTTTTAATTGCAGGAACAGAAACTCACCCCAAATACCAAAAGCTTAACATGTTGATATTGACCATAGTTTTTATATAGAGACCATAGCTTATTTTATTATCTCAAGAAGTTGCCTTTTTAACTTTTAGATAAATTCTGTGGCTTTCTTATACAAATACGTTTCTGGTCAGACATGGTGGCTCATGCCTGGAATCTCAGCACTTTGGGAGGCCAAAGTGGGAGGATCCCTTGAGTTCAAGGCTACAGTGAGCTCTAGTTGTGCCACTGCACTCCAGCCTGGGCAACAGAGCAAGACCCTGTCTCATTCATGTATGTATTTATGTGTCTGTGTGTGTGTGTGTGTGTGTGTGTGTGTGTGTGTGTATACACACACACACACACACACACACATTCTGTATCTCTAAAATATAGATAGATGACAGATAGATAGCTGAGACAATATGCTCAGGAAATCATATGATATTACTTGTCAGCAAATGTTATAAACTGGATATTCTAATTTATTACATACCTTTGGGATTCTGGGGGTGGGGGTAGAACAGTGAGATAACAATAGAAACTACAACAGGTGAGTATAAATAATTAAACACCAATATTGAAATTTAAGTCATTATAAATAATATGTACATTGAAACCTTCCTATTCTTCTCGTTGTTCTTGTCCCCCTGGGCATGTCACAGTCATGTCAGCCTCAGTTTTCTCATCTATAAATACCCAAACATGTCCACATATAATGCTGTTAAAGACCATCAGACTCAAGTTAAGTTTTAGTTTGCTACTCATTTGTACTTTGTCTTATTAAGACACTTGACTACTCTGAGTTTTACTTTTCATATTTGAAGGGCAAAAAACAAAAAAATGTGAACTAATCACTAGACTATTTTAAAAAGATCTTCCAGTCCTGGCAATCAACCACCATAACATTAAGTTTGATAATATAATATATACATAAGTAGTCTGCGTATACTAAACAATGCCTTAGAAAATATAGCATAACTATTTAAAGGCAGAGATATTACCTATCATCCTGGTTTTTTAGTTAAAAATGATACAATGATTTTTTTTCAATTATATTATCTAATCCTTGTTTGTACTTGTCTCAATTTGTAAATGTTTAAGATAATATATGTTTTGCATGAAGAAAGGAAAGAAAAAAGAAGTTCACAGTCCATAAGATACATGTTCTTTATGGTGATATTAACATGCTATTTTGTCAAAATCTTGAGTTTATTAAGCAGATTTTGTGTAAATATGCCATGAATACAGTATTATCAGTTTTATTTCAAAATAGAACCAAGATACCATGGGCATAGGTTGAGTATGGACAGGCTGCATCCTAAGTATCTTCTACTTTCAGAGTTATTCTGAAACACTTCTGAAAATAGAAGATATTTAGGATGTTCTACTCATTGTTGGAAGAGCCTGGAAAATTATTTTACCAGTTCCTGGTAAGTGAAACGGAATGTGTCTTTTAGCACTCTAGGTATTTTTATACCTCTTTTTACTATTAATTCTATAAGAACCTCTGGAATTATCTTTCAGTGAGTCAACGCATATTTTTTATAATTAGAAATTATAGATCTAATATTTTATCAATGTTGTTTAAAATCTTGGTGTCACTTCATCTTATGTTTTCTATGTCCTAATTCTTAGCTACAGCCTTATTGAGCATCAGCATCATCATTAATACTAATAAACTTGAAATAGTATTTCATTGCTATATTAGTATAGTAGAATGCACAAGTGTACTCAAAGCAATGTTCATAGTTTCTTCAGAAGAGTTGATGCTTTTTAAATTTATACTTCAGCGAATATTAAAAGTATGGGGCATTATTATTGAGAATGTTGAATGTCATGATTTTAATTCACCCACAACATTATAAAAATCCACATATTTGTTTCTTTAAAACAAGTTGTCAGTTATTAACTTGTGCAATGAACATAGGCTTTGAAGTCAAGACACCTAAACTTTAGTCTTGCCTTTTTCACTAGTCAGCTGAGTGAGGTTATATTGTTGGAGATTTAATATATGCATTTGTAAAATGACAATATCTTTCTTAAAACCAGTTTATTAAGTTATAATTGGCATACAAATAGCTGCACATATTTAATGTATACAACATGGTGAGTCGGGAGATAGATATATACCCATGAAACCATCACCACAATCTATGTCATAAATATATTAGTCACTTCCAGTGGTTCCTCCTACAATGCTTATTTATTTATTCTTATTTTTTTTGTGATAATAAACAACATAAGGCGTACCCTCTATTTTTAAATATACAGTGCAGTATTGTTAACCATAAGTACTGTATTGTATATAGTAGCTTTCTATGACTTATTCATCTCATATAACTGAAATTTTGTGCTCTTTGATAATGCTTTACAGTCTCTTCTTCCCCTCAGTCCCTAGAAACCATCATTCTACTTCCTGCTTCTATGATTTTGATTATTTTAGAATCTTCATGTAAGTTGCAACATGCAGTATTTATCTTTCTGTGTTTGCCTTATTTCACTTATACAG